GCAAGGACGAAGCAAAGAAAACGGGGGAGGAAGAAAGAAACGAAGATAAGATACAGACGTAGTGACAAATAACCTGGAGACATAAACAGATAGATGGAGAAGAGAGAGGGAGAGAGAGGGAGAGAGAGGAAGAGGGAGAGGAAGGGAGGGAGGGAGGGAGGGAGAGAGGGAGAGGGAAGGAAAGAGAAAGAAAAAAGAGAGAGGGAGGGAGAGAGAGAGACCGCAGGGACACAGCTCAGGTCCAGGAATTGGGTGAAAGCCAAGGAGCCGATGGGCGTCGGCAAGGGCGTCGCGTACTGGAGGAGGCAAGGATACACTAAGGGGTGGAGGGGGGAGTAGGGATAGAAACAGGAGGAAGAGGAGTCGTAGGAGGAGGAGGAGGAGGAGGAAGAGAAGGAGGAAGCGGAGGAGGAGGAGGAGGAGGCGAAGAAGGCGAAGTAGAGGAGGTGGTAGTGGATGATTGAGGAGGAGAGGACGTAGATAAGCCGTTCGGAGAACGAACGGATTCGCGATATGAATGGGAAACGGCAACCGAAATCACGAACAAGGGTAAAGAAAGAGAGAAAAATAGTAAGAAAAAAAAGGAGTGAAAGGGGGAGAAGCAAAGACACGCGTAAACCCGACTAAACGCAGAAGAAAACAGGGCCAGGTTGCGTGCGGCGGCGACGGTGGGCGTAACACCAGACGGGTGGGAAAGGCGCGCCAGAAACGCGTCGCCCTTTTGGACGCTGGGATTCCGGGCCTATCTGGGGAGGGGGGGAGGGAGAGGAGGAGAGAAGAGAGAGACGGAGGGGAAGAGGGACAGGGGAAAGGAGGAGTGAGAGGGGGAGAGAAAGAAAGAAAGAAATGGAGCCCACAAAATACGATACAACAATGCAAAGGAAAAGGAGGAGCACCAGAAACAATAAAAGAAAGAAACCAGAATAGAAAATAAGAAAATTAGAGAAGAAAAGGAAGAACAAGACAAGAAGCCACCGAGCGGGAGCGAAGGCCGACGGCGGGACCCTCATCCGAAGCTCCATTCGCTCTCCTCCCTCCCTTTCCGTGGGTGGGGGAGGGGGAAGGGGAGGAGGGGGGACTGGTGGACACTGATGGATGTATCATGAAAAAATCTTTCTTTTTTGTCTTGAATCTTGATCAAGGAGATGAATAATGTATCACGTACAGGTAAGCCTATCGAATATGGACAAGGTATACAGTATAGCCCTAAAAAGGTAAACAAAAAACGAAAACAAACAAATCAAGTGAACATACAAACCATAAGAAAATCATTAAAAACACATCGAGAATAGAATTCCGAGAAGGCCAGCACAGGCCTCTTGCGGATTACGACACACGGTTACGAAACGCGGCATCGTTGCAAGCAAGAGGGGCGGCGGTCGGGTTCCGTAATGCCACGGCGGAGCGTGCACTCGCCTTATGTAAGTGGGCGCGCGCGCGCTTGCCGCCTCTGGCCTCTCGGGGCCTGTGCTGCATTTATGGGCACGCAAGGATTTGTCCAACACATGGTCTGTATACATTCGTATAAGTGGCGCGGTTACGCACTCAGGCAACGCATGCAGGTACGCACGCGCCACAAACAAGCAAACAAACGCACACAAGAATGCAAATGCAGGGGCAGAAGAAGCGAGGCTCCCTCCGAGGCCAGCCAGCGCCGCCGCCAGCCCTTCGCGTCCGTCCTGCGGCGGCGGGGGCGCGGCGAAGAAAAAAGCGATAAAGGTATTAGGATCAGTTTCCTTGCGCGGGCCCTTGGGCGCCGCCGCCGGGAGCCACGCGAGATTATCGTCACACATGACGATTCATGCGCGTTCACACACAGCGGACACGGACACAGACAGAGTCAAAGGCACGCACACACTTGAGTATGTATGCATTACATGCGCGCGCGCGAACACACACACGGTAAACCGCACGCACAAACGCAGAATAAGAGTAAAAAGAGAAAAGTGAAACAGGAAAACATGAGGGATTACACCAATGAAATAAATATCTTGTAATACATAAATGCAATGAGAACATGGCATACGGAGTGAGAGAGGAAGGAACGAGGGAAGAGAAACGATGGAAGGGAGAGGGAAGAGGCAGTAGAAGGGGGGGGGGGGGATAGGAGAAGCAAATGCTGGAGAGTCCGACTCGAGAAGGGAACAAATGGAGAGTCGAAGGGAGGACGAGAAGGGGCGGTAGGAGGGGGGGGGGGGGCAAATGGGTGACAGTCCCCTATCCCAACAAACACGACGCCTCGGCACTGAAAGCCGACCCGCCGCCACCACGGCCAGACTCGCCGCCAAAAAACAAACTCCGGCCGGACACAGAGACTGTATACTCTGTTTCTGTATAAAAAGGGAGAGGGAGAGAGAGGAGGGGGAGAGATGGAAAGGGGGAGGGAGAGGGAGAGAGAGGAGGGGGAGAGATGGAAAGGGGGAGGGAGAAGAAGAGAGAGGAGGGGGAGAGATGGAAAGGGGGAGGGAGAGGGAGAGAGAGGAGGGGGAGAGATGGAAAGGGGGAGGGAGAGGAAATGAGAGGTGGGGAAGAGATGGAGATGGAGAGGGAGGAAGATGAGAAAGAGGGAGAAAAAGGTTGGGAGAGGGAAGAAAAGGGAGGAAAAAAGGGAGAGGGAAAAGGAAAAGGAAAAGGAGGGAAAGAGGACTGCAGATAGACAAATAATACGTACTTCTATGTGAACAACAATCAAGGTTCGCAAGACAATACGAATTAATTTTAATTAATACAAGTTCATAAAATCAATAATCAATATCTTCAACGACGTAATGAACAGTATATAAAAAACGCAGAATTTACACACACGTCAACCCTTTGCGCGGCCTGTAGCGAGCGCGGGAGCCGAGGCCCAGATAAGCAGCGAGCACTTCTCGACTGTCACACGCTGAGTCAGGAATAACCGAAAGCTGTCATGAGCGTCAGTGCATATGACACCCACGGATGGGGGGGGGGAGGTACTGGGTAAAGCTTGAGGGCAGAAGGGTCAAGGTGGCAGGGGGGGGGGGCAAGGGGAAGGGAGGGGAGTAGGGGAAGAAATGGAGGGCCCAGGGGTGATGGGGAAGGGCGGCGAGGAGACAAGAAAAGTCAAATGAGACAAACCAAAATAAAGCAACTTCCACCAAATAAAACTGATCAAACAGACACAGATAAACAAAACAATTATTCTAATAAAAAGATAAACTAGAGAATAAACTTCAACACCCCCACCCCTCCTCCCTCGCTAGCCCCTCCCCCCCGGCCCTCGCTCCCGCCCTCCACAAATCCGCCACAAATCCACATCCGATCCAGCCGCCCTCTGCCGCCGCCTGCCTCCCCCCCGCCTCGCCTCCTCCAGCCAGCCAAATGCGTTCATCTCCGCCGTCCGTTCCCGGCCAAGGACAGAGCTGCGGACTCCCTTGCGCAATAAGGGCGCTTGTTGCTCGGCGCTGTCCGTTGCGTCCGCTATCGATATCGCTTGCGGTGTCCTTGTCAGAGCCCAATCCGGTGCCAATAAAATCCATCGTCGTTTGTTTCCCTAGCCCCCCCCCTCCCCCCCCCCCCCCCCCCCCCCCCCCCCCCCCCCCCCCCCCCCCCCCCCCCCCCCCCCCCCCCCCCCCCCCCCCCCCCCCCCCCCCCCCCCCCCCCCCCCCCCCCCCCCCCCCCCCCCCCCCCCCCCCCCCCCCCCCCCCCCCCCCCCCCCCCCCCCCCCCCCCCCCCCCCCCCCCCCCCCCCCCCCCCCCCCCCCCCCCCCCCCCCCCCCCCCCCCCCCCCCCCCCCCCCCCCCCCCCCCCCCCCCCCCCCCCCCCCCCCCCCCCCCCCCCCCCCCCCCCCCCCCCCCCCCCCCCCCCCCCCCCCCCCCCCCCCCCCCCCCCCCCCCCCCCCCCCCCCCCCCCCCCCCCCCCCCCCCCCCCCCCCCCCCCCCCCCCCCCCCCCCCCCCCCCCCCCCCCCCCCCCCCCCCCCCCCCCCCCCCCCCCCCCCCCCCCCCCCCCCCCCCCCCCCCCCCCCCCCCCCCCCCCCCCCCCCCCCCCCCCCCCCCCCCCCCCCCCCCCCCCCCCCCCCCCCCCCCCCCCCCCCCCCCCCCCCCCCCCCCCCCCCCCCCCCCCCCCCCCCCCCCCCCCCCCCCCCCCCCCCCCCCCCCCCCCCCCCCCCCCCCCCCCCCCCCCCCCCCCCCCCCCCCCCCCCCCCCCCCCCCCCCCCCCCCCCCCCCCCCCCCCCCCCCCCCCCCCCCCCCCCCCCCCCCCCCCCCCCCCCCCCCCCCCCCCCCCCCCCCCCCCCCCCCCCCCCCCCCCCCCCCCCCCCCCCCCCCCCCCCCCCCCCCCCCCCCCCCCCCCCCCCCCCCCCCCCCCCCCCCCCCCCCCCCCCCCCCCCCCCCCCCCCCCCCCCCCCCCCCCCCCCCCCCCCCCCCCCCCCCCCCCCCCCCCCCCCCCCCCCCCCCCCCCCCCCCCCCCCCCCCCCCCCCCCCCCCCCCCCCCCCCCCCCCCCCCCCCCCCCCCCCCCCCCCCCCCCCCCCCCCCCCCCCCCCCCCCCCCCCCCCCCCCCCCCCCCCCCCCCCCCCCCCCCCCCCCCCCCCCCCCCCCCCCCCCCCCCCCCCCCCCCCCCCCCCCCCCCCCCCCCCCCCCCCCCCCCCCCCCCCCCCCCCCCCCCCCCCCCCCCCCCCCCCCCCCCCCCCCCCCCCCCCCCCCCCCCCCCCCCCCCCCCCCCCCCCCCCCCCCCCCCCCCCCCCCCCCCCCCCCCCCCCCCCCCCCCCCCCCCCCCCCCCCCCCCCCCCCCCCCCCCCCCCCCCCCCCCCCCCCCCCCCCCCCCCCCCCCCCCCCCCCCCCCCCCCCCCCCCCCCCCCCCCCCCCCCCCCCCCCCCCCCCCCCCCCCCCCCCCCCCCCCCCCCCCCCCCCCCCCCCCCCCCCCCCCCCCCCCCCCCCCCCCCCCCCCCCCCCCCCCCCCCCCCCCCCCCCCCCCCCCCCCCCCCCCCCCCCCCCCCCCCCCCCCCCCCCCCCCCCCCCCCCCCCCCCCCCCCCCCCCCCCC